CAGCTTTCTATCCATCTCCCAGAGACCCAGTTTTCTATCCATCTCCCAGAGACCCAGCTTTCTGTCCATCTCTCAGAGACCCAGCTTTTTATCCATCTCTCTGAGACCCAGCTTTCTATCCATCTCTCAGAGACCCAGCTTTCTATCCATCTCTCAGAGACCCAGCTTTCTATCCATCTCTCAGAGACCCAGCTTTCTATCCATCTCTCAGAGACCCAGCTTTCTGTCCATCTCTCAGAGACCCAGCTTTCTATCCATCTCTCAGAGACCCAGCTTTCTATCCATCTCCAAGAGACCCAGCTTTCTATCCATCTATCAGAGACCCAGCTTTCTATCCATCTCTCAGAGACCCAGCTTTCTATCCATCTCCCAGAGACCCAGCTTTCTATCCATATCTCAACCGTCTCTCAGAGGCTCAAACTGAATTTGACACTTACATTTTCATCTCTAGATTTCTCAACAACCAGATGAAATCATTCTAACAGGAGTGGCAGCTGGTATAATGGGATTCTTTGCATTTTCTTTAATACCTGTATGTTTTGAACTTGGAGTGGAATGTACTTATCCTGTGTCTGAAGGGACTAGTGCTGGATTTATATACATATCGGGGTAAGTATACAAACTGTACATGAATCTCTAACAATATCTGACGTAATCTTGGTAGTCATGGTCTGATGCAACATTGTCAATAATATCCCAATATTCACATTGGAGTTCATAGTCTAACACGGATGTTCGCAATCAGGTTACTAACTTTGTCTATCATGGTCTAACACTAACATTTGCATTTCTGCTCCAACACTGAAATTGGCCATCACAGTCCAACACTGAAATTAGCTTTTCTTGTTTGCTTTTTCTGTAAAATTGTCTAATTTCCATTATTTTCATAACCTTCAATTGCTGTTTTCCAGTCATGATGAACTCGGTATTCTTCTGTAAAAGCATGCTTCTGTGTCTTTTAATCACCTTTCCATGGGAAAGTGGTCTATAGAGGGCGATATTGTGCATCCTTTCCATAAAGGGCGATATTGTCATACTTTAGGATGGAATGTGCATCCTTTCATCAGAGGGCAATATTGTTATATAAATCATTAACAAGATACACAATAATCTTCGACCATTACCTTTTTTTTCGTTGAATTCCAGTCAAATACAAGGAATAATTTTAGTCATTGTGATGCAAGCACTGGGTCGACCTTTATCGGCCAGACAGAATGCTACTCAAGACTGTGATTTATCCACGGCAGATGCAATTGAACCAAAAGACATGACAAGTAAATATAACATTTATTGCTTCAGTTATATTTTCCTTTATAGCACCATTTATTGAACAGCGTAAGTTTAAACTTGGCATGAGATCCCAAAACATCCACATTTACTTGAAAGTCCTGGCCATTGTTTTAATAAATGCTGTTCAAAATTTGTACATTCATCGTGCTATGGGCAAGGTTTTCTATGTTTTAACAATGTTTATCTACAAGGTTTTAATAGTACTAAGGGCAAGGTTGTTGCATATTAACATAATGTTATATTTCCTTTACAGTTTCTGTACTGGTGTTTTCTGGCATAGCTAGTTTAGCAGCATGCATCTTTATTATATTCTTTGACACACCATATAAGAGACACAAAGCCGAGGAATGTGAAGCTGCTGAACGGATATTGAACTTTAGCATCAACTCAAAACAGAGGGAACAAAGGCAATACTTGTCAGCGTGAGACTGTATTCAAAATGAGTCGTGTATTTGTAGAGCCGGCACTCTCATTATTTTATTTGGCAGATATTGAGTGAAAACATTCAATATCATTTTCTTTAGACATTGATCAACATATCTATTAAGGTTGTGGTGATGAAATAATGTTGCATGCGTAACAAACTAACTCAGTTGGACTCAGCAGGTCTATGCAAACACTGAAATTTGTTGGCAATTTGCTAGTAGATCTGTTTACTAAAACTTAAATGGGTTTGACCAGTGGAATGGGTTAATGCAAGAAGCCATCTCTATTGAAACCTTCAATGTGCCATGGTTTCGATTAGATATATCAAAGGTGCCAAGGAAACTGTCTCTGTGACAGTATTTTCCAACTCAAGTATCCGATGTTTTCCAATTCATAGGACATATTGAAAAATTTGGATAACTTTTATCATATTTTTGAATAATCTGAAAGTGTATATTTAATTTATGGATTGTGAAATAAGATTACTTTTTATTGTTATTTTATTTTTTTAAATGAATTCAATCCAGTTTGAGCTGGAGTGATTCATTGCAAGTAGTTAAGATTAAGAAACTCAAGTCATTTACATAATATACAATTTGCAGATAATTTTTATATATATTTTTTTTAACATTTTCGATGAATTTTGAGTGTGCTTTAAATCCTTGATATTTCAACTAGGACTGATCAAACAAAAACTATGAAAAGCCATTACAGACAGACTATTGTGACTATTGTAATGCACAATGTTGAAACAAATTGCATTTCTGAAATATTTATCAGATTTTTGTACTTAGAGAACGAATGTCAAATTTTATGGTATTTGTTTTGGTGCACATAAAATGAAGTATTCATATAAATTTCATTATGATAATTTCTAATTAATGGAATATGTTCATCTTGTTTTTATGAAATGAATCAAAATAAAATTTCACGCACATGCATAATATTATATGAATTGCAGTGTATGTTGTGATCCAGAGAATTGCAGTGTATGTTGTGATTCAGAGAATTGCAGTGTATGTTGTGATTCAGAGAATTGCAGTGTATGTTGTGATCCAGAGAATTGCAGTGTATGTTGTGATTCAGAGAATTTGCAGTGTTTGTTGTGATCCAGAGAATTGCAGTGTATGTTGTGATTCAGAGAATTGCAGTGTTTGTTGTGATCCAGAGAATTGCAGTGTATGTTGTGATTCAGAGAATTGCAGTGTTTGTTGTGGTCTAGTGAATTGCAGTGTATGTTGTGATCCAGAGAATTGCAGTGTATGTTGTGATTCAGAGAATTGCAGTGTTTGTTGTGATTCAGAGAATTGCAGTGTATGTTGTGATTCAGAGAATTGCAGTGTATGTTGTGATCCAGAGAATTGCAGTGTATGTTGTGATCCAGAGAATTGCAGTGTATGTTGTGATTCAGAGAATTGCAGTGTTTGTTGTG